TACAAACCATCCATGTGATACAAATTGATTAAAATATTAATATTTAGTTAATAATTAAATAATTAAGAAAATAATTAAGTTATAAAACTATCACATTTGATTAAGGTTACAAAATCTCATGTAATGTAAGTTGATGCGATTGTCAATAGTTTAGTTATTAATAAAAGAATTTTCGTTCAAACTTATAATACGGAAAACTTACGTAATATATTTGTTTAATTGATAACGGTCAAAGATAACGGTCAAATCTCGGGTTTGGTCAATTTTGTAAGTTTGATGCATAGTTGAAACCACGATGTTATAGATCGAAAAAATTGGACATGATGTTTAATTTGTGAAAAGTTCGTGTCATATAAATATATTAAAGAAACAAATTTTAGTAAGAAATCAACAAAATATAGCCATTTTCCTTTAAAATTAACGTTAGTGTTAACAGAATTACACGTAAGCTAATCGCTAGCCCTATGTTTGACACATCGGCGTCATGTCAATTAATTTTTTTTTTCATTATAAAAACGGAGGGTTATAAATTACTGTCTCCACCAGAGATTTCGATCTCCCTTTGGTCTACTCTGACGTAGAGGCCCATTTTCCATCACCAGCGGCTACTCGTCTATTTCCTCAATAGTAACAACAACAGAGTAGTCTCCGTTGAGAAGCACAGTTGAGAGATTGGAAGAGAAAATCGAAATCGCCTACTAAATTAGGTTTATTATACCCACATTCCTCGATTGACTTTTGAGAGAAGACGGAGGCAATGGCTGTTGATGCATATGGTGGTTTGGTTTGGCTAATATTTCATATTCTCAAAGGTTTGGATAATATTTTGTATTCTCAAAGGTATAGCTAACAAAATAGTGTTTGCCCTTCAAAAAAATTAAAACAAAATTAATTGACATGGCCCTTATGTGTCGAACACGTGGAATGACGATTAGCTTACGTGTATTCTGTTAAGGCTATCGTGAACAGATAATGTTTATAATTTTATATTATGAAGAGCACTTCTACTGTGCTTTAAAATATTGGTGCTTTAAAATACAATTTGAAGTTGTACCATGACGTAAAATTTACAAATTTGAAGTTGTACCTATACTCTTTTGTAAAATCCCTTTATGGTACAAACTAAGCTAAAGTTGTACCTTTATGTTATTGTACAAAATGTCTATAGGTACAATCTAAGGTTGTATCATAATGTTAAAGGTACAACTTCAAATTGTATCATAAAAGCAAAAACTAAAGCAACAATGCTTTAAAGCATTGTAAAATTCCTCTGTTATAAAAAGTATGACTAATATTTAGTATTTTTAAAGATTTGGATAATATTTTAAAACCGTCAAAGTTTGGCTAAAAAATATTAACTACCCACTACCCAGTAATCAATATATTGGATACTATTTACTATTTCTATTGGAGAAGGCAATTATGGAACCGAGCATACATACAGTAATAATGATTCGATGCCAGAATAAATGCATCCAAATCCAATTGTTTTTAGGGAGTAAAAAATTGTAATAATCAAATGAAAATTTGGGAAGGACTGAACGTAGTGGCCAGTGGGTCAGGGTGGGAGAATGTGGTAGCAGGGCTAGAGGTCCAGCTCATAATTCCGTCGCATGTTTAATGAAAGACCATATTGTCCTTCCGTGAACTGCGCAGAAGCCAGGAAAAGGGAGTTTGAGTAGGCGTGGAGGGAGAACCTCCTTATAGTGATGTTAGGATAAGTAGCTCCAGCCTTCCACTCCCCTGGAATGGCAGTCTTGGACTCCACCCAGGTCGTTTCCACGCTGCTCACCAGCTGGAACCTCACTCTGAGTTGGCCCTTTGGTGGGGTAACCACGTCGAAAACGGCACCGTACGCCCTCCTCGTCCCTCTCCATTGCTTGCAATCCTCCTGGCAATCCAATTAATAAACGTTGTACTGATCAACATTTGTTGTCGTCGTCATTACAATTCCAACACTAAGTAAGTATGTATAGGTGGTAGGAAGGAACAAACCTGCCAAATGTCGACCGCTGTGACGTCGTACTGGCCGGCTTGGTAGAGGAGGACGACGGCCAGGTAATCGGGGTACTTGCTGTGCTCCTTGACTTTGAAGACGATGTTGTAGCCGGCGTAGCGGCAAGGGATCCTCTTGTACTCCACCTCCACCACGCCGTACTTGTACAGCTCCGGCGCGCAATTGGGACGCGCCATCCTCCCGTAGGCGCGTGGGCTGAGGATGAAGTCCGTGTGGTCTCCCTCGCCGTAGTCCGTCACCACTATGTTCACGCCGTCGTCGCTGCACACATTTGGCGCCTTGCACCTTACCTGAAAAATCAACAATTGATGAAACCATATATCATTATTAATTATTGCACAAGACTAACTCAATTGGGACTATACATTAGTTTAATGAGCAACTTATAGGAAATAAAACACTATTATTTAGTGGGAGGTTAATTAATTAATTGCATACCTACCAACTTTATTTACCACATCATCAGTTTTGATCTTATATACATCTATGAGCCAATAATTGCTTGCACTAGATACTTTTGAAGTTATACTATACACTTCTTTTTTAATTAATACTCATGTCTAGTATTTATAAGATATTGGAATTCTAAATTAAAACGGGTATTGACTAAATTATATTGAGTTACCTGGTAGCAACCGCCACATCCTGTACCGTTCTTCCAAAGTCTTGACACGCCAGCTACATTAGCGTCATTCACATTCCGTCCAAATTCACCATAGCCACAAGCTCCCGCTGAAACCCAACAAGATCGGTAATCAATCATAGAAAATACTGATAGTGAGTCCAATTGTAACGAAGATAACTAGTAATATGCATGTGAAATGAACGAGAAATAACTAAGTTTGGTGTTTAGTTGACAATGACACTTTTACACTCCAACTTAAATGCATATAAAAAAATTTTACTTTGCTTAAAGTTTCGACCATCTTTACGCTTAACTTTTTCATCCCGGGATAGAAAACTACTAATACAATATTATATCTAATAAAACGGAAGAACACAAGCAAGAATCAGACTAGCTCAAACATATCGACTCATATTCAGTTACTGCTTCCCATATAGTTTCGAATCAATCAAATAAAAATATAACAATGCTAGATTACAAGATGGAAACATACTTGGAGTCCCTAAGCAATCAGGACTACCATAGTAAGTAGCTCTTGTGGAGACGAAGTCATCCCCAAGGCCTAGTCCAGGCAATAGCATTGCTACCACAAGGCCAAACCCAAAAGCAGCAAGTGCAAACCCAGCCATAGTTCTGCAAAGCAATATGGAGAGCAAGGTACGTACGTAGGTGGATGAAGAAAAAAGAGTAGAAAGTGAGGGATGTGGGGAATTAGAGGTTTATGGCTCATATTTATAGGTGCTGATGAATGGCTGGCCACTCCTTTACTATTAAGGCAGCTGCTGCTACCTTTGCTATGATATATTTACATGCCGACTTTCTGCTTTTTAAGGCATTTTGACCACTTGGTTTTCAGGCACAATGGACTGCATACATGTGTTGATTATAGTGCAAGTGGTACTACGCGATTTTTCTAGTGACTAAACATGACACGATTTAGTGACTAAACATACAGTCATAATTGGAAACTCCACAATATCACATAGAAAACCCTCCATAAATTCAAATTAATTAGACATACTCATACAAAATACTCCATAAATTGAAATTAATCGGACATACTCGGGAAAGACAAGATCGCTACAAAATGATTTTAGTACAAAATTTTTCCTGTCCAGACCCAATCCACATCTAATGATCCACTCACTGAATCATATACCATAAGAGTTATTTGTTCCGAAAATTACCCCACTCAAATCTATAACATTTTTTAAGTAAAATTCAGCTCGTCAACCACCTCGAACATGGCACGGAAATGTATGTAACAACATAGGCTTTTTTAAGGAAATGGGTCACATCTCCACTGGATCTCCTGCCCCAGAAAACAGAAGCCAATTCCACCTGCTCCTCAGCTCATTCACATACCGAATCCCTCTTCACCACCGCCAAGTACTCATGATATTGAGATACACTGTGATGGCTCCTTCTTCAGTGAGTCACAGGAGGCGGCCTATGGCGTTGTTGTCTCGAACAGCCACGGTCAAGTGAGTGATGGTAGAGCTGAGATCATGCATTGTTTTTCCCCGCTTGAAGCTGAAGCAAAGGCGCTTCTGGAGGGCGCGCGTCTAGCAACCAGCCTCTCCTCTCCTTGCCTCGTCAAATCCGACTGTCTCCCCCTTGTTAATGCCATTCATGAAAGCCCAGGGTCTTGACCCTGGAAAGCAGCAGCGTGGATTGGCTCCATTAGACAGATTTTGGGTTCCAACCCTTTGGTTCGGATTAAGCATGTTAGGCGTAGGAACAATTGTAAAGCAGATTGGTTTGCTAGGTCATGTGCCAAGAGATCACTACCCTCCCAATGGGTACAGATTCTTGATGTAATTTCCCCACTTCTGTAACAATTGGCTTCAAAGCAAATGAAATACAATGTCCCTTTGTCAAAAAAAAAAAAAAAAGGGCAATGTCTATTTTTTACCCAAATCTTTTTCAGATTCTTTTATTTTAATCAAACCTATAGAAATTCTATTATTATCCAAACGTATTATAATTTATCAAAGTCTGGGCATTCATTCTGTTACCGTTACTTATTTCGTCCACGTGAGAGGTGGGATTTTGTTTTGTTTTTTGATAATCTTTTTATTAAAAATAGTAAATGATGATATTCTGACCGCCACGTAGGAAGTCAACTCATTATGGTCATACCTAGTCAGCATTACTAACAGAAAAGTTGACGGAGAGTTAACGTTTGGATAATTTTTAGTAATTCAATAGGTTTGGTTAAAATAAAAGAATCTGAAAAAGGTTTGGGTAAAAAATAGATATTGCCAAATAAAAACCATGTTTAGGTTTTCTTTTGTTTGGGGATTGTGGAGAAATTGGGGTAGGTAGACTCGATTTGTTTGTTTTTTTTTTTTTATCATCGTCCATTTTGCACTTGGCAGCAACTTGTTTCAATACAAATATTGCAAGTTCAGGAAGACGACTCAGCACAGCAATAAAGAACTGCACTGCCACTAAACCAACCACCTGCTGCTGATTGATTGATTACGAAATAATGACATGATTACTGAGTAATTCAATCATATCTAAAGCTTCAACAACAAATACTACAGATTGAAGCAAGGGTAGAAATAAGCCTCAATGTCAGTTCGACAAGTGTTGAAACTAAGGATACAGAGTGAAGAAAGAGGAAATGTGAAGAACATTGTACATTGTGGTCACAAATGCTTCCCCACCACCAATTCCCAGGTATACTTAAAACAAAGGGGGAGGTAGCTCCCGAGCCTTTTTCTCCACTGCTGCTGGAAAAGCTTCTTCGCTTGCCTCTTCTCTTAGCATTGCACCTTCCAAACTCCGAAGCTTCAGCCTAGGCAGCAAAACCAAACATGTTTGACATGGCTCTAGTCTTCATCATTAACTTGCATATGAGAATCGAAACCAAAACTAGATTTAAAATTGCATCGGTTCAAGGTCGAGTCCAATCCAAATGTCGATTCAGTACAATGTGAATCGACTGACCCACTCCCCAATTTATGCTTAAACCCACAGATCAATTGAACACAATTTGCTGTACGATGGTGACAACCACTAGAGCAGGCAAGCTATAGTATTGGCAATACATCGTACAAGTGTCAATAAAAAAGGCCCTAACTAACAGCACCATCCAACTCTAAAACAGTGGCCAACACAATAATAATAATGGGGCTTTGTGCAAGTATGAGTATCAATCTAAATAGCTATATCCCACTTTCAAGCAAATAATAAAGAGCAAACTCAACTTTGACTTGGTGCTGAGTGTTCTTTCTATGTGTACGGTTCATATCTCTACAGAGCTGCTTAGAACTTGGCATCATCTTCATACATTTTTGCAAGCAAAGAAAGAAATATCAATAAGTCATAAACACTACCACTAAATATGCTGCCTCTTTTTTCTCAGTATCTAACACAGAACAATCAAGAAGCGCCAGGTTAAATCAAATACGGGAAAGAATTGTGCAACAGATGGACCAATAGTAATGGGGAAGTCTCACCATTAATAGAACAAGTACCTTGATAATCAAAGAACAGAATAACACAGACAATTGCCCAGTGCTTGACGATGTAACCTAATTCAGGGCTGTCTACATCTTTTACCAGACAGGTGGTGCTCTTCCTTGGCTGAACCAAAGAAGGGAAGCTATACTAACTAAAACATTGTACCTTTATGCCACCAGTCGATACTACAATTGATGAGGCTTTTTACCCTTAAGTTTCTAAGAAAACTATTTCAATTGCTATTCCAAAGCACCAACTAGTGGGTTGGATCTAAACGGTAGCACAAGCCCAGAACTTTATGCATCTGAATTCAATAACAAAGCTAGCCCTTTGGTTCCCAACCGTTTGATCACTTCACTACAACTGTGTTTAAAAAGTGAGCAAAACCTATCAGTTCTGATTACTTAGTTTCTTCACAATAATTTTACTGAAAAATTGATGTTCTATCCGACTAATTGGTACTTTCACTTTCATTTCATTTTTCATAGTGCTAAATGATTCGTCCACAATAAAATCCTTTACCAATCTTCTCTTGGACAAAGTTGGGCAGCTTCTTTGTACTTAAAACACTTCTATTACTATATGACAATCAACTAGTTAGGAAAGACAACATGGTACCCAATTAGTTAAACAGGACGGGTTACTTACCACTTCGATAGCAAGGACCTAACTGAAGTACCAATCAAATTAATATAAAAAGGCTAGGTACCAACCCTTCATTGAGAGTACATGTTCTCTACGTAAACAGTTCTAATCCATTTAAGTAAAGCTTGTTAAACATCAACCCACCAAAACCCAAAGGATTGGCCAAGTAGTATTTAGAATGACAAACATTCAACTAAACCTAGGTTTGAATCTTAAGGCAGCCATATTTCCCTAAAATAAATTCGGAATAAGAACTTGTATGACTGACATGCGATTGCATGTTACCTCACACTTGTTAAAACCCACTGACATCATCTACCAGCAATTATATCAGCTGTGCCTTTTTAAGGTCAGAAACAACTCCACGGTCTTCGCTGCCTCTTTCATTGTACAAGACCTAAATGCCACAAAAAGTTATTAAGAAAGGTAAGCTACTCCATATGACAGATAAAGCCTATATGTTAAACCAAAAACTGGGTAAGCTGAAGTACTTTGTCTATGATTCCATATTCAACTGCCTCAGCTGGACTAAAGTACTTTGGCCTGCTGATATCAGCTTCAATCTGTTCAGATGTCTTCCCAATGTGCTTTGCAAAGAGGTTGACCTGGACAAAGAAAAATTCACAGATGCGCTGGCTAATGAGCACAAGGTTCCACCAACTAGCTGAAACTTGGGAAGATGGAAACTTTACAAGTAGTCCAGCACTAATACTTTATTATCCCACAAATGAGATTAGCATGTTAAGAATTTGAAAGCAAGGGGATCATTATCATAACTTGTGAAACGTCATCAGAGGCTCACCAGTTCTGCTTTAACATTATTCATTTCTTTTCTTGCAAGTTCAACATCTGTAGCTTGGCCCTGAAATCTCCCTATGGGCTGTAGACAGGAGGGTAAACTTCAGTATAGACATGAGCCAAAAGCAAGATAGTGATCATACAACCCAAAGAAATGATAGTAATGCCATTATTATCTCTATTTACCTGCTTAATCATGATAGTTGACGAAGGTAATGCAGAACGGTTTCCTTTTGCACCAGCAGCCAATAGCAAGGCAGCCTCTCCCCAAGCATTACCAACGCAGAGAGTGAATATCGGTGGCTTTACATACCTGAAGCAGAACATTAGTCATTTAAGATCAAAATAATTGCATGTATGCATAAAGAAACAACTATAATCGACTAGATAATAAAAAACACAACATATTGTTAGAAACGGAGGAAGAAAAATGAAATCATGATCATACAATAGCACATCAAGAAGACGAGATTACAGTTTGAAGCATCGATGTACTAAGGATCGTGTAGATATAAATCAAAAGAAGTATCAATCAGTAAGAGCATGAAGAATCATTACCCCATAACATCATAAATAGCAAAGGCCTCTGTCTCATAACTCAGCTTTTCACCACCCTGAAAAAAGAATGAAGGAAGTTAACAAGACAAATGACATGTAAACCAAACTTTTGCATGAAACATTACTTCAGGACGACAATAATATTTCTTCATGACTTTCTATGAATGCACACATTTCTATATGCATTCTTGGGCATAAACAGGTGTAATGATAATTACGCGAAATGCAGAGAAGGATTCTTGAAAACGGGTCTGTTCGTTGTCAAGATCATTTGATATTTTCTCTTTCACAAACCTATGGAAACATCAAATTCAGGTTCCTAGTGAATAAAGTTACAACAGAAAATAAATGGAGGAAGCCAAGGAACCCAGCTATGATATTTCCTTGCGCTGTGAATTAGAGATTTCATCAGGAGCAGGCCATAGAAAGGTTAAATCAATGTCATGAGTATCCATTTCTTAGCAGACAAGAAGCAGAAGCCGCCGACGTAGTTCATCTCTATAACCAAGGAACTCGGAAGAAAAGGTCAAGATACCTTACGATGCTAATCTAATTTAGCTTCTGAACACTATGCTAAAAATGACAGAAATATACAAGGACTATGATAGTATATATACCATTTGAATATATTACATCTAGAAATAGCCAATATTTAGAGCGTAATAAGAAGACCCTGAGAAACAAAAGGTTAGGATGTTAAGGAGAAGAAGAGAATGCCTTGGTTGTCCCTGTGGAGTTGATGTACAGATATATAGGTTTTTCTTCATCTTCATACTGAAGGTAAAGAAATTCTGCAAGTATTAACTCGGTGACGGAAGGAACAAGGGACATGCCCAGGTAAACAATCCGATCTTGAACAAGTAAGACGCCAAATCGGGAGGAGGTTGCTCCCACGCACTTCCCCTTGTATAAGGAATAACCTGTACAGAGAAACGCGCGACAACGTAGTTATAACCAGAGGAATGTACAATGATACGGTAAACATGTAAGAATACAGAAACTCACTGAAGCAGAAATTTTTTATGGAATAATCACATGAAACCCTCATTATTATCCTGAAGATGTACCAACAGTAGACATCATTCCAGCAAAACAGACTATGTAGCTCCAGTATGTGTGCTACATGAGTAAAATATGTTTCTGAATGTTTATGAACAGACTCCCAATACTTCCTAACAACATTTTTAGCTAAAAACTCCCAAAATCACTCAATCTGATATAAAGTTGAAGTCACGAGTAGACTCGCAAAGTAACAACTTCCAGAGTAATAAAAGGCCAATAGCCTTGTCATTCAGACTTGCAATGGCTACATAAATTTTAAATTTTTTCAAGGATGGCAGCAAAAATATGGTCTCTTTCCTATTCTAAAGGTACTCTAAGCATTGGAAATCTCTTCTTTAGAGAAAGCAGGCTAACTGCCGAGTTCTTCCAGTTCTTCCATACGGAATACATGTTACTTCGACTATACAGCTATCCAGTATCCACCATCCCCCTTGACACTTCATTATCCAAACTGGAAGCATTCTAGTTAATGGAACACTGTCTTACATCCAGTTTTCAGTGTTCGACAATCATATCCAGAACCTATTCACCAATATATACTCCTTTAAAGTTCCCGACCATAAACATTGTCTAGCATTCCACCATAGCCTGCTACTTGCCTTACTTCTTATGCTTATTCTTGACCTTAACGAGATCGAATTCAATATCCCAATTCGTTCTGCACGGCAGGCAAATCTGGCTATGCTTGCCAAATGTGGGTGGCGCCTTCTTCATGATAAAGAGAATATATGGCAGCAACTTCTCCTGTCAAAGTATGGAGGGCAAAGGTCCGGGTTGGATATCCTGCGGAAAAGACAGGGAAGTTCCTTTACCTGGAATAGCTTTGTCAAAATGCTGATCTCCTTAAACAAGGATGTGCGTGGAATATTAGTAATGGGAAGAGAACTAATTTTTGGAATGATATATGGGTTTTACAGGTGCCTCTCAAGGAGATGGCGACAAGGGAACTTCCGGAGGGAGTGGAGGACGCTATGGTGGCTGATTACGTTCGTGACGATGGCAGTTGGCGCGTGGAACTGTTTTCGGAGTTCCTTCCCCCGGATGTCTGCAGCAAAATCACAAGTATAGCTGTCGACAACCTTTCCCAGAAAGAAGACTCTCTCTTTTGGGCCCCGGCGGCTGATGGTAGGTTCTCAACGAAATCCGCATATATCCTCCTTACTAAGCAGGATCAGCAGGTTAATGACGAGATCTGGAGGGTGATCTGGCGCCTTCCAGTCCCGGAGCGGGTTTGTGGATTCTGCTGGTTGGCCATCCAGGGATCGATAGCGACGAATGCCCTTCGTTTTCAGCGGAGGGTGGCACCCTCGCCTTGCTGCCCGCGTTGCCCGGGTCGCCCGGAGACGGTGCTCCATATCCTTCGGGACTGCACGCCGACGATTTATTTGTGGTCAAGGGTGGTCTTGCAGCAAAACCAGCAGACCTTCTTCAACGACAACCATGATAACTGGTTCCGCAAGAACATCCTCAGCAAAGAGTCCACCAGTTCGGGTATTAGCTGGCCAGGCTTCTTCAGTATGGCAATTTGGCTGCTTTGGAAGAATCGAACAGTTGCTTCTTTTAAAGGTGCGAATGCTGCACTCTCTCCTCCATCCCTTATGCACTCTATTCTTACCAAGAGCAAGTTATGGAATGATTCCTGGCATGCTCCGGAGCTGTTCCTCAGCCAGAAGAAGCAACGACCAGACCGGGTATCTGCAGACATCGGGTGGAAGCCGCCGTTAGAAGGGTGGGTTTTGGTTAACACCGATGGAGCTTCCTGTGGTAACCCGGGTATGGCAGGTGCTGGGGGAATTATCAGAGATTCACAGGGAAAGTGGCTGGGCGGTTTCATCGCCAATATTGGTACTGCTTCTGCTGCCTTGGCGGAGCTTTGGGCTATTCTGTACGGTTTGGAGTTGAGTTGGAAACTTGGCTACCGGGCGGTGAAGCTGGAGTCCGATTCACAGCTGGCAATTCAGTTAATTCAGAAGAGGCACGATCACTTACACCCGTATGCTACCCTCTTGAGTCTTATCCGAAGAAAGATTGGTCAGGATTGGTTGGTTAGCCTGTCTCATACATACCGGGAAGGGAATAGAGTCGCGGACTGGCTCTCGAAGCACAGTCTCGTCTATCCCTACGGTATGCATGAACTAGCTGACCCGCCATCAGGTGTTATCACTCTCTTGCAAGAAGATGTCAGAGGTGTTACTTTTGAACGCCGCATTGTGGCTAGCTCTTCCTCCTAATCTCGGTCTCCCCCTGTAATTTTTTTTTCTTGTTCTCGGCTTATGCCTCCTTGATATGCAAAAAAAAAAATGATAACAATGATGATAATTCTGCACTAATGTGTTTCTCCAATGAATATGGGAAGCAATAATTGTAAGAGTTACTATGCTAAATATTGGTAATGTTTTACCGACAATAAAAAAGATCATATACTTTTTTTTAGGTCTTTACGATTATCGATATACAAATAAAAATACAAAAAATGGAATCGAAAACGAAGTAGAAGGGTTTGTCCATCATCTTTCTTCTTTCAAACATATAAAACAAAATCGAATGCAGGGGCTAACAAATTGAATGTAAGGTTATGGGAAACTGAAAGAAAATACTTATAATTTTGGCGGTGGCGTCAAAATCTCTGTCAAAACTTCTGTATTTTCTATGGCTGATGGAGAAGAAAACCAAAGTTTGATCAATACGCCAAGGATGATGCCGATAAGCCCCGCGACCAATGCAAATGTGATAGAGAATCCTGGGCCTTTTTCTCGATATTTTCGACGCTTCAATAAATCCTAAAACAAACAATTGAACAATTTTTCTTAAGAATAAACATCCTCTTTCGATTACCACATTTATGATATCTAAGACAACATTGAGTATCACATAAGTGCTATTGAATCTCTTATTAAAAAGGTGATATTAAAATGAACGATCCTTCTACTCAACACATACAAATATCTCAAAAAGTACTATGTGACCTAGATGTGCATTTCTCAATCTCATTATGCAAGTTGCAAATGACAAATGGGAACTCACTAGTTCTTGTTGCAGCTGTTGTGTCTTACTTACAACAACATCCTTTTCGTCTTTTAGTCTTTGCAAAGCCTGATGAAACACATATAATGAAAATCAATTATGAAATGCAAAGATAACAACAAAAGAGACACTAACATATGAGGGGCGAAAAAAATGAAGGGATGTCTTGTTTAGATAACTTGTATATATTTAAACCGGGTTAAATACATTAAATTTACTTTAGACCATTTTACTTTAGATCATTGAATAAAAACAAAAACACAAAACAAAAAATAGTGCTACCGGAGCTGCCCGTGCAATTTGTCAATTTTCCATCAATTGGGCTGGGGCGCTGGGCCAATGATAACGAAAGGGTTTTTGTGTTTTTTGTGGAAATAACTTTACCAAAATGAATACATAATATTTTGAACAATAAATTTGTGAAAGATTTGGTGCCATTTCATTTATTTTCAAATATTTACTAAAAATAAACAAATATCATTATTGATACTTGTCATTTATATTCAATTTTTTTTTAAAATTTACATAACATTTCATAACTGTTATGTAAAATATACACCCATTACGTAAAGGTTAAAGGTTACGGAATGATAGTTATTTCTTACATAAAGCGTTATGTAGGGCTTCTGTAATGACTTAGCACTTTACGTAACTCAAGGTTAATACTCAATACGTAAAAGGACCGACCATTATGTAAAGCATTTGTAATAGCATTTTACAACTGCTACCTAAAATACACATCCGTTACGTAAAGGTTACGGAGCGATAGTTATTTCTTACGTAACAGTTAAATCGGAAGCATTACATAAGGCTTTCGTAACGACTTAGCACTTTACATAACGCGAGGTTAATACTCATTACGTAAAAGGACCTTCCATTACGTAAAGCTTTCATAATGACATTTTGCAACTGTTACGTAAAATACACTTCCATTACATAAAGGTTACATAAAGATAGTTATTTCTTACGTAACATTTAAAATCTGAAACGTTACGTAAGACTTTCGTAATGACTTATCACTTCACGTTACACGAGGTTAATACTCATTATGTAAAAGGACATTCCATTACGTAAAGGTTGATAGTTATTTCTTGCATAACAGTTAAATCAACAACATTACGTAAGACTTCCGTAATGACTATATATCTTACGTAATGCAATGTTAGTATTCATTACGTAAATTAACATCCCATTACGATGACTTTCGCAATAACTTTTTACAATTGTTACGTAAGATTACCATGCGTTACGTAACTATTACGTAATGCCTATTGTGATTTACGTAATGGGACCTGTGAAACCTGCTATAACATGTTAAAAATTCAAATTATCTTACTTCAAGTTACCGTAGTAAATCCTTATTTTCAGTTTCACGAATTATCTTAAACTAGAGGAAATAAGTGAACTGAAATGCAATGTCCTCCGAACTAAATCAGACCCAAATGCATAGTTAGTCGATTTTGACCCTCGTTTTCCCTTTATTTTGGGGCCTGATCGATTTTTGACACTCCTCGATTCTGACCAGAGGAGACCATGCCTATCCCCGACTAACATCAAAAAGGTGATCAAGAAATGAACTCACTACATTGCCATCGAAGCTCTGCCTACAGCTTGTGAGACCATCTTCTTCTCCATTCCCTTGAGCTGACGAGGGAGGAATGTATAGAACTCTTAGCTTGCACTCCTCCACCTTCCCATTGCTTTCTTTGGTGAACTGGCAATGGCAAATATATTATAACTAAAACAAATGTGCACAAAGAAAAAACAATAATATATTTATCCTAGCCCCTAATGTTTCATATTAAAATTAGAGTCTAGTCTTACTATATCTGCAGGTAGGTCATCTACATCAGTATGCTGAGGCACTGTTGTGCTTTGCAACAAGAATTTATCTTTGCATTGCATATCTGGAGGGCATTCTTTCTGTGCTTGCAAAGTAACTGCAATGAACCATATAAGAACAATGAAGTATGGTATGGTTCATTGTAGGTCGAGTTAGCGAGTCGCAGTGGGCCAAGTTACTAAAGGTACTGATCGGATTTAACGAGATGAGTTTGAGTTGTATTTGTGGTTTGGGTTAAATTTTTGTAAATGTATCCAACGGTAAACGATTGACCATTGAAATATGAGTAATAGTAAGCATACACAAACTGAACAAGAGATGGAATTTGCACCTCTGATAATACAAGAGTCCCAAGGCTGTATAACTCCAGAATTTGGCCTTACAAAGTACTTCTTAGGTGATGTAGTTTTTACCTATTGGGAAGAAGAGGGACATAGTTTTAGATCAAGTACAGAGCCATTCAACCATAACAGAAAACCAATAACATGAATTCTTGTTAGTTTTTTTTTTCTTTTCTATGGATAAAATTTACCTTAAAAGCAACATGATTCTCTGTGTTGTTCACGACTTTAAGATCACAAAAGCTCTGCTTTTCCAACTCAACTGATTTCACCACCAACATGAATTATAAGGTTAGTGAATTATAACAAGCAACATTATATAATCAAATAGATTCCACAATTAAGAATTTGATTGAACGGTGCAAAACTTTGTCTAAATGTCGCTTAAGATTCCACAATTGAATCAAATAGATTCCAACAATATATCGATGTGCTCAACTTTCTCATAATCATCGTCGCATCCTCAATTCAGAATAAATTTTTGGAATGTGATCATGATTCATGCTTTATTGAATATATCAAATTGTCAAAAGGTTGGATCTTTTTTTAAGTTCAAATTAGGCTTAGTTCAAAAGAAGAATATTTAGTTATCATTATAACAATGTTAGTAAAAACAGAGAAATGTTTCCTGAGAAAGGAATTGCCCACCCAATAAATCATAAAATCGAATCCAAGTTCGAGTACTTACATATAAACCTGAGCTCATCGGGATGAACAGATATCAATTGGTTGCCGCCACCACTTGTTGACATGATAACGTCGACAATCCAACCAAAACCAAACCAAAATGAAAAACTAGAAGAAGAGAAGGATGTGAAAATGCAATAATGAATTGAGACGAAAGTATGGGAAAGAATGCCGATTAGGGTAAGAAGAAGAAAAAGGTGGAGAGAAATCTAAGGAGGTAGCGTGTGGTTGAACGAAGGAGGAGGGGAGGGTTTGTGAAAAAACACAAAAAAATGAACGATTCGAAATTGCATGTGGGAATTTTGACGGTGAGGCTCCAAGTTGGTTCCATTGATTTCGGTAATCCGATCGACTTATTGGAGAGGAGCACAAATGGACTAAGCCATTTGCATGCTTATTTTAGGGAGAGGACATAAATGCATGTATCAAATTCATGGGTGGATCTATCCAATAAAATATGGGTTATTGTTTAAGACGTGTTTGAATTGTTACGCTATTGCAAAATTCTTTTAAGAAGATATATGGCATTTTAGATGTTGATATTGAAGGAAAAGTTTATTTGGATTGTTGGGGTACATTTCCTAGCAAGTTACTTAGAGGAGAAGCTCCTAGAGAATCTACAAGGATGGAAACATCACTGATCATGGGCGGCAAAGGAAACTGTTGTTAAATATGTTATCGCGACATTGTTGGTGCATGTCATGTCTTGTTTTCAGTTATCGGCTACCTTGTGTCGTGAACTGGACAAGTACATGGCACGATTTTGGTGGGATATGAGGTGACCGATGGGCTTCTTGTAGCTCATTGAGAAGGAGTAAGGAGAATAGGGGACTAAGCTTCTGCCGGTTTGAGCAGTTTAATCAGACTATGTTAGCAAATTTTGGATGGCCTATTATGCAGAGCCCGAATCTCTTCTAGCATGTATTTACAGAGGAAAATGTTTACTAACGGCTCAACCTGGATGCCCAAAGGGGGTCCTGACCCTCATGGGATCGACATAGTGTGATGCATGGTAGGTTTTTGCTTCTTGCTGGGCTATGTTGGGCTATGCTGGCTAGTTGATTGGGTTCCCCAGCTTCATCCTAATCTGCCAATACCACTTGCTTATGTGTCATTGATGGGTGATAAAGGAGTTCCCTTTCAAATTGATCGGGATGCAGGGGCATGGTGTGAAGAGTGTCTATCGGCTAGTTTTCTAGATATTATTACTAAGGTAATTTTGGCAATTTCTATACCTTGTGCGCTGATGGATGACAAAACGATTTGACATGAAGATTCATCGAGAATCTATTATGTCAAATCGAGGTATCACCTTGCAATGGGACGATATCAGAGTTGGGCTCGATGTAAATAAGAGGTTTCTATTTAGGATTATCGATTTTGGAGGCAGGTGTGGGTCTTCCATATCCAATCAAAGATGAGGTTTTTTGAGTGGCAGGTCCTATACCACATTTTACCTCTCATGGAGGTCACTTCAAGGTGTTCAGTGAACGACTTGGTGTCCTGTGTGTTGGTTGAATCAGAAACGTTTGAGCATCTCTTCTTAGAGTGCCCGGTGGCGATATCATTATGGGAGGCTTGAGGCTTGAGGTCAAGTATGCGGGGTTTAGAGTTTAGGAATTTGGGTATGTTTTCCATTAATTAATTGAACGTGACTCCTCTCATGAGCATGTGGTGCGAGTTGTAACCCTATTAAAAATTATTTGGAAGTCAAGAAATTGGATGGTTAATGAGGATAAGCATATAATAATTTCATGTCTAGTTTGGTAGTATCGTGTCTAAGTTGAATAATGGGTGGCCTTGTGACCATTGGTAGTAGCTGCTGGTGGTAGGGAGCACACTTAGGTCAACAGGGTGGAGCAGGATCAGGATCGATTGTTTGTCTATGCAGCTGATGATGCAATTTCTATCGGATCTCATGCGGTGGCGGAAATAGTGCCGATGGACATGTCAGGGAATCTAATGATGGTGGTTATGTGTCAGTACCGTAGGATCCAAGCGGTGGCGGGAATAGTGCCAATGGACATGTCGGGGAGTCTAATGATGGTGGTTATGTGTCAGTACCCTGGGATCCAGGAGCCTTTCATGCCTGAACTATTTGCGGTAGAAGATGCGTGTCGCTGATGTGGGGTGCTTGGTTTGCAGAAGGTGGTGGTGCAACGAGACGCTAAAACTATCATTGATAAGGTTCGTGGATTGAGCTGGAGGGAGGGCAATTCTATAGGAACTAGTACAACTAGTGGATGCTATTATGTGTTTTTAGTTTCAGTTTTTAGGTAGGGATAACAATAGGGTACTCAATTGGTGGCTAAGAAAGCCCTTTCTTTGTTCCATAGTATTGTGGGCGGGTTTGATTTTCGTAATTGGTTATTGTCAATTATATGAGTGTTTGTATGTGGTTGACCTGGGTGATTCCAATGATCTCATGACAAATTTTTTTTTAAAGATTTATAAATGACATTTATCAAATACAAAGTTAAAATCTTCATGGTGTTTATGCACACTTGAAATGATGATGTATTGTAGGATGTGTCATGAAATCTTATTGGTTTCCATTTTTCTTTTATAATTACTAATCTCCAATTTCAATCATTTTTTTAAGATGGCATTCCTTCTTTCGATGCTCAAACTCCAATTGACCGACCTATCCAAGCAAATCAATGGTACATATATTGAATAATTGAGTCTAAATAGTTGAAGGTAAAACTTTACAATTCATTTGGGATGGAAATAGGATTTTAGAGAAAACACTTCATAAATGAATGAGAAATAGAGTATAATGAATAATTGAGTCTAAATAGTTGAAGATAAAGCTTTAAAATTTATTTGGGATGAAAATATGATTTTAAAAAAATCAAAAGAAGATAAATACATGTAGATATTGATAAAAATTATGATAAAACGAGTCGAGAACGGGGCGGGGGGGAGGGGGGGGGGGACAGGTCTGAAACAATACCTAGACTGCATCCCACGCTACTACGGGTCAGTCGGGCCAAGTCTAGTCGTACATGTTAGGTCATAAATTGTCATCACTATCCATAACTTGTGTCTCAAAAGAGCACTATCTAATCTAACAAGTACCAGACCCACCATCATGATTAGGGGTGTGCAACGGTCCGTTCTGGTCCGAAATGAAGCAAACTCATGAGAACTATAGTCCAATAGTGAAAGACATTTAGAACCAAGGACATGACCATCATTGCAATCGGTTCGAATTGGTATGCTTTGGTTTGGTCCAATTCAAATGTCAATTTGGTCCATTTGACTTCAGTATTTATAAAATTCAAGGAACCAATGACCAAACCACATTATATTCGGTTCAGTATGGTCCAATCCAAACATCGATTTGGTCTGATATGGTTATGTAAGGACCAAATCAGTGTACACCCCTAGTCATGATTAGTGCAAGTGTGCAACCCTCGCTGAATCATTCGAAATGAGCTACTTTTACATGTTATGGATCTAGGTCCAAATTTTTTTTTTAATTGAATGGATCTATTGGCCTATGAGCTACTTTCTCTCTTCTTTCCAATTTTCAAATCTTAGATATGGTCTCCCAGATGTGTCCTTCTATGAAGGGGGGTTTTCATCTTCTTTAGATCAACTAATGGAGAAGAAGACTGATGTCTTAAATGATGGTTCAGCTACCAAGAATCCCATCAAGACTAAAGGCTCACCTCTACACTCCCTTTGTACAGAGTCCAGACGTCTTCACGATAGAGGATCAACAAAAAGAAAATTCTCTTCAACTGCATTCAAATCCCCCAACACCCAAAATCTCTCGTCTCCCTTCTGCATTCAAGGCCATATACCTTAAAAGAACATAAAATTTTCACCTTGTCAATCACAAGAGAGGACATAAAAACCTGTTCAGCCCAGAACGGAAGAAGAAACCTCCCCTCCTCAAAATGTACCTCGAGCCTAAAAAAGATTGCATATATGCGAGCAGAGATGAAGTAAAAGCCTTCTTGTTCTATCAACTCAACTCCCCAACTGCCTACCCTAAGCCATTAATTTTTTGTACATAACGGCCTCTAGCACCATATTTTTATTAAGTACCAAAAATAGGAACAAGTTCACCCAAAAAGCCACCCCCTTCTCTGAACCAAAAAAAAACCCTCCCACACAAAGTGAAAACAAATCGACCTGATATCCCTAATTTGGGTGGCCAAAACCTACTTGGGGAATAAGAATATCACGAAGAGGTTTTCTACGATAAAATACCTCAGAATCAGGGGACACAATATTTGCACTTAGTGGGGAAGGTTTTGTGAACCAACTTTCCATGAGATTTCATGAGATTGGTAACACTTTGTGAACCAACTGTCCATGAGATTTCAAAGATAAAGAACATCTTCTTCTTCTCCTTCAACCGTAGGGAAGAGATACTGAAGGCTTGGAATTGCAGACCATGGCCTCTGTCTGGGAATCTCCTCCAAATGAAGCAGTGAGAAGACTCCATCAGGCCTATAGATCTCAACTTTAACCTAGGAGATTTCTGGATCCAAATCCACGGCATTCAAGAACATAATAGGACAACCTCCAATGTGGAATCAGATGTTGATATGTTCCCAAGCTGCATGTTGTTGATATGAGAGGCCTTAATCCATAAAAGTTCATGGAATTTATAAGAGTCTTCATCTAAGTTGATCTCACTCGTCCCTTGCCTCCGAGATCTTACTACTCCACCAACGGGGTGAGGGACTGGCTTGGATTCAGGTATGAGAAACTCTATCTGTTATGTTACTACTCTGAGAGGCAAGGTCATTGCAAGGAGGAGTGCCAATGGAAGAAGGCTGATGAAGAGGCAAAAATCCCAGGGCTGCTAGAGGGAAGGTACACCCAATGGATGAAGGCTGGAAAAAATGCCCCCGACCACCTCCTCTGCCAAGGGGTCGTATCATCCACCAATCTCCGGGCGATGCAAACTCTAGCACTGATTTGCCAGGTTTTAACCAGAACTGGATTTGGGTCTCGGGAGGAACATCTCCGGCGACGGGCAGCACACACAATGACACTCCGGTAAATCCATCTTTCTTAGGTACTGACAACAACTTAGGGAATGAAATTCGAGTCCCTCCTAGGGTCACTCCTCTTCCGTATCCAACGACACAATTGGTCTCAAGCCCAAGATCTACTACAAGCTCTACTGCTCAATTTTACCATTCTCCTTCTCTAACCAGGAACATGGTCCCATATAGGGCCCTAGTGATATTCTCTCCTCTCACCAATATTTTTTAT